TATTTTCTTATAAACTAACACTAAACAAAAAAACACAAAATGGGTCGTGGTTATAACTTACTATTCATTCTAGTAACGTTTTTAGTACTTGTTGCAGCTGTAGCTGCACAAGGGAACCGTGGCTCGAGCCGTGGTGGCGGTCGGAGACCACATGTTGGGTTTTATGGGAATAGATGCCGAAACGTAGAGTCTATTGTGAGATCGGTGGTTCAATCTCACGTCCGATCTAACCCAGCTAATGCACCGGGAATTTTACGTATGCATTTTCACGATTGCTTTGTCAATGGCTGCGATGGCTCGGTTCTCATTGCTGGTAACACCACGGAGAGAACCGCCGGTCCGAACCGTTCATTGAGAGGGTTCGAAGTTATTGAAGAGGCTAAGACTCGGCTCGAGGCAGCTTGTCCTCGAACCGTTTCTTGTGCTGATATTCTCACTCTTGCTGCTCGTGACTCCGTTGTTTTGGTAACATATCTTAAATTATTTAACTTTGGTTTTTAATAATATTTCAATGATGATTACAAAGCATGCTCATTTAACTTTGGGTGATGCAGACCGGTGGACAAAGCTGGGCGGTACCATTGGGACGTCTCGATGGCCGAATCTCGCAAGCCTCAGACGTGGCCTTGCCCGGACCAAACGACCCCGTTTCCAAGCAGAAGCAAGACTTCGCTGCTAAAACTCTCAACACATTAGACCTCGTAACTCTTGTTGGTACGTTCTAATTCATATATGCAAAAAATTATTACATATTAGTCTATTACTCGTTGGGACCTAACTAGTAGAGTGGTTTGGCTTTGACTAGGCGGACACACAATAGGAACTGCTGGTTGCGGTTTAGTCAGAGGCAGGTTCTTCAACTTCAACGGTACAGGACAACCCGACCCAACAATCGACCCGAGTTTCGTGTCGCTGATTCAGGCTCGGTGCCCTCAAAACGGAGGCACCCGAGTCGAGTTAGACAGTGGAAGTGTGGACAGGTTCGACACATCTTTCCTAAGGAACGTGAGGTCAGGCCGCGTGGTTCTCCAGTCCGATCAAGTCCTGTGGAGGGACCCCGAGACCCGAGCCATCATAGAGCGGCTCTTAGGCTTACGCCGACCGTTCCTGAGGTTCGGCTTAGAATTCGGGAATTCCATGGTCAAGATGAGTCTTATAGGAGTCAAGACTGGATCAGATGGGGAGATTCGTAAGGTTTGCTCTGCGATCAACTAAGAATTTTAAAAACACAAAATGTGTGGTTTGATTTTAATTTATGATTTGGTGACTTAATAATCATTTGGTTTACATATAATAAGCTTGTTGTTATAGCATTTTGTCGTTGATGTTTACCTTTTTATTTTTCAAGTGTAAGAATATTGTACTTGCAACAAAAATGTATTATATAAAATATTGTCATTGTTTCTTCACTCGTGTACCGTGTACGGTAGGTACGAACGACCTATTCAAGGAAGAAAGTGTTTGATTATGTTAGATTAATGGAAGCTAGTCTAACCTCCATCAGTAACACTACAAGAAAACAGGCAAATTTCCGACGGT